AAATGCTATGAGTGCTGCTGATGTTTTTTAGTTTTATTTTAATTCTAGATTCTGGAAGGCGGTTTTCACGTACGACTTAACTACCCAAGTTTACTGGGCATTTGCTTTCTTCACAACTCGAATGACCCAGACGAGCGACCGTGACGACCAAACGCTCTCTAACACTTATCGTTGGGCAACAGCAATCTTTGAAAAAAGAATCTTGAGTGTGATTGTATTAGCCGTTGAAGATGTCCTCATGGTGTAGCATAGTGAATCTCAGTTATATCCCCGAATCGCGCGATAAAATCGCTCAAGCCGTGAAGTATAGCACTGCAATAGACATTGTGCCATCTGAAAATATATCAGGAAAAAATTGAAAAAAGGAAATTTTATGTCTCGGAGGTGGTTATTACGTAAGGAACTCATTTCAGGTGTTCCTGTTAGGAGAATCAATGCTGGTATATCGTGTGTTCCGTAATGAGCGTAAAAAGTTCAGTAAAACCCTGCATGTCTGTCTACATTCAATGGTGTTGGTGTTCATGATCATAGCCCTCAAAGCTGTATGGGATTCACACGATCTTCATAGAGATGCGTTAGGTATTGTTATAGTTATTTCAACCTGAAAAGCTAATTATGACTTCACAATGTAGCCATAAAAAGAGTAAAAGTGCAGTAAGAAAGACTGCGATATTGCAGTCGAGGGCCTGTAGAGCAAGAAGAAGTGGCTAACTCAGGTAGTCCTGAGTGGCTAAACTCGATTGCATTTCGGTGGTTATTCTTTGAAATAGATGTATGGACTGAAACAAGAAAGGATCTCATCTAGCATTGCAATGAGCGGGCATTCAATGGCGGTCACGATGTCTGAAGTGCAACGACGCGACGTTGCAAGAGCGACGTCCGCTTCAAAATCTTACTGGTTTGGTCTGAAATTGCTGCAGCAAGCCGAGTTAACCGGCCAAGAAGTGTGCCGCGCGCAGAAGCCTTTTCTGCGTGTCGCTACCATTCGGATCTCCTGCACCAATAAAGATCCATTTCCCGATCGAGAAGTAGCGGATCAGTGCTTTTAGGTTCCATTTGCGGGTCAAGCTGATAGCGTCGGGTGCAAGCACAGTTTTAGAAACGCTTTTCGTGAAGGGTTCCGACTTGACCTTCCAGAGTCTAACTCTCGAATTTTATTTATTTATTAACCACTGGCTGGCTGAGCAGTGAAACCTATTTCGACAGCAGAGGTTGACAAGAAGTGCTATTAAAAAAGTATTGGTTGGTTTAGGACAACTCGATCCGTTACCGAATCTGATCTCCCTGCATTCATGGATCGGACTCAGTGTCGTGATTTCCTTTTGTATTCAGGTGAGAGTCGTGTTTAG